CTCATGCTGAGGAGTAAGTTACTCAGCAAACTGCCATTGTTCCTGTTCCAGTAAGAGGAGGCTGCAGCTCAATAAGGTGCAGCTGAGTGAAAGCCGAGTCACTGCTATTGCACCAAATGTGTGTCATTGTCTCATTTCCTGTGTCCTTCAGTGAGTGTTCTGAGTGAATGCAAAAGCTGTTTAGAGCTCTCAGTGGAAGGCAAATGCACCTCAGTTTTGGACAGTAGTTTTGCAAAAGTGAAAACAAATCTGTCTCTAACTCTATGGAATTGGTTTAAGTACCCTCCATCAGAATTAACTGTGAGAAACAGTTCTTTTATTCTTTAGAGTTGGTAGATTTGGCTTGACTGCAGCTCTTCTCACTTGTCTGTCAGAGAAGATGGGAGCCTGTCAAGTGTCTTGGGCTCTGCTGGAATGAAACCAGCAGGTCATGGGGAAAGAAAGCAATGATACAGCTTTGCAGACCAGTCATGTCCTCAGCAAAAAGCTTGTAAAGAATAACAGGCAGAGTTGTTCCTTTGTCTTTTTCAAAGAAGTGAATATATGGTTTAGTTTGGCCAAGTGTTTATGGGGCAGAACTTTTGAGTTTAATTGATATTTACTTTTTAAGCAGTTACACATTTCAGACTCTGCAGCATTAAGGAATGTCTAACGTACATTATGCCTTGCAAAAACAAACAAGTAAGAGAAGCAAGGCAGTCACATTTTCCAAACCAAAGCACACTTACAATAACAATGTTTTATTTATTTGAAAGTCAACCTGAGATATTTGAATTTGTAATTTGCATTTCTTTTGAAAGTGGATATACTAAATTTCATACAGTTTTTGAATTTAATTGCATGAATCTAGTAGATATATATTTTTATTAGCCAAACTCACAAATTGAATGCCATCTATTAGTTTTAAGAGAGAACTTACATGGTTACTTAAATGAGCACAAATTCTTTGAATGTGTTGTCTGTGCAGTATTGAAGACAAATGTCTTAACTTTCTATTTTCTTCTCTTCTCCCTTTATCTCTGTCTTTATTATCTGAAATGCTCATAAATCAGGAAAAAGGTACAGTAATAATTTTCTAATAATTTCCTTAAATACCTAAAAACATCCTCTGTGCTATTCTATTGCAAATTCTCTAAAACTGTTTCTGTGGTCATGCACACAGTGACTGAGTTCCACTTACCTGGTTTAACTGAAGCCCTGTGGTTTAAACTCAGTGAATTGTGTGCTTATGTGAACGTGAAAAATAGCAGAGCTACAGGATGGTGCTGCTGCACCAAACAGCTGCCTGGAATGTCAGAGCAAATAGCCATGAACCTTTGTAAGGGTGGTCAGATTCTCATCTAGTTTCCCTGTGACTGAGTTGAATGATTTTATCACTAATTTGAATGACATCAGTGATTTGAAAAATACTCTGCTAGTTTTTCTGCCAAGGGATTTGTTAAAGTTTTCCATAGCTTTTCTTCAGGTGTCAGTTCTCTGTGTTCCAGACACTCTCAATAAATCTCCTTTGCCCTGTAACTTTCTGGGTAGGTGCTGTGTTAGCCTATAAGGTCAGGAATTGGTGAATGATTCTGTTATTCCTTCAGAAATTTCCTGCTGGCTGGACAGAGCAGCAATACTTTTCCTCTGGAGGTACTTACAAAGAAAGGGGGTTTATATAGGCTGCTTTTTCCTTACTGAGTGCATTTGGAATTGGTTTCAGAGCTTCTCAATGTAGGTCACTCCATCATTTATCTTCTCCAAAGGAGAATCTGTAAATCATTTCACTTACTGTTGTATGCTAGTTTGATCAAATCCCTGCTAAATCATCTGGAAGTAGATCCTTCTCTGAGGCAGGAGCAGAACAAAGGGAACCTGTCTGTCCTTGTGATAAAAAGGGCACATCAGCACTCCTCCAGGAGCAGAGCAACTGGGTTTAAAGGACCTCACAGTCACTTCTTCTAAAACTGGTGGGATTTTTTTCCCTTCTGTGCATCCTCCTTCTGAAACCAAAGAGATTAAAGAATGTGACATTGAGGTCATGGCAAACCAGTTTTCTGCCTTTGAGAAGACACCAAAAGGATTTGCTAGTCCTAGTGAGAAGGGTGAGGTAATGTTGATAGATGGGGCAAGTAAACAGGGCAAAGTAATGTTCCATTCAACTTGAAAGCTTTGTGAGCTGTGCCATGCAGCACTATTTTGCTGGCACTTAAGGCAGTGATTACATAATAAAAAATTCCTTTGCTCTTTTTGGCAATTGCACCTTCATTTGGAGTTTGTTCTGTAACCCAGAGATAGTGTTCCATTTGTTTGGAATAGGAAGAGCCACAAGAAGAATTCAGTGAGGATTTCAGTTGCTGGGAAGGTCCCCTCTGAGCCTCCTTTTCTGCAGGCAAAGCCACCCCAGCCTCCTCAGCCACTCCTTGTTCTCCAGATTCTTCCCCAACTCCATTGCACTTCTCTGGACATGCTCCAGCCCCTCAATGCTTTACTTGTCATGAGGGGCCCAAAACTTCACCCAGGATTCGAGGTGGGGTTTCACCAGTGCCCAGCAATCCTTGTAAAATTTATGTAAATCAGAACTCAAAACCAGAATGTCTGTCTTTTATACTGGGTGATCCCATGACAATTTTGGTTGCTGTAAAGGCTAGGGAATAAAGAAACGCTCTCAAAACCCATTCAGTTCCACCTCACCAGCATTTAGCTCAGCCCAGTAAACCATATCCAGTGTGCCAGTGCAGAATCACCTGTGTTTGCATCGTGCCTGGTTTGTGAGCTTAGAGAAGACAGAGCAAACGTGGGCCCAAGCAAAGGGAGGGAAGAGCTCAGGCTCAGCACTGTGTGCCCGTCCTGCAGCGCTCCCTGTGCTGGCTGGGGCAGGCAGAGGGGTGTGACATCTGTCCCTTTGCTCCATTCCCAGAAGCCCTACGCCTGCCAGATTCCCGGCTGCTCCAAGCGCTACACCGACCCCAGCTCCCTGCGCAAGCACGTCAAGGCTCACTCGGCCAAAGAGCAGCAGGTGCGTAAGAAGGTAAGAGCAGGTGAGGAGTGACACATCCCCAGAGCTCCTCAATGCAGTCATTTTTCATCTACCCTTAATTCATATATTTTCAGATAATTTTTTCTGCAATATCACAGAAGACAAATTGAGCTGATTTTCCTGGTTTTTAATCACTGTTGTTAACCAGACCACCTTATTTATTTGTACTTCCAAAGGCTGCCAGCCTCTAATTTCAGTTTGCCCCACACTTCCTTTCCAAGCATTTATTTTCCTTTTCATCTTTCATACACAAGCCCAAATTGTGCTGTCATTCACATAAAATGTCCATGCATTGAGCCTCTGCAATCAGCACTAGCTGATGGTATTTACTGAAGTACATGTTGGCAGATCATCTCAAACACAAATGAAACAAAGCCAGGGTACAATGGGAAATATAGGAAAAATGACTTGGAATAGATGTCCTTGTGTCAGCCATGCCCCCTTTCTTCCTGCTGCTCCTCTTGTAGAGTTTTCAGCAGTTCGAACGTAGAGTTCCTTTCCCAGGACAGCTGTGTCCCCTAATTCTGCCTGTAGCCCTTCTCTCTGCCAGATGTGTGCAGTCTGAGTAGCAGTTCCCAGCACATCAGTGACCAGAGCTCTGCACGCTGTGTCAGATACTCAGGGATCACTCATTGCATGGTGAGCTTTGTGCCTGGGAGACACACATGCCCAGCACCATCCAGGTGTCCATGGCATCAACTCTTTGCGCATATCAGCTCTAACCGAAAGTTTTATTTAGCCTGGCCACCGCCTAGTTTTCCATCCCAATTTTGTATTACCAGGCCTTGTGGTTTCCCTACAGCTTTCAGCTTTAGAAGGTTCCACAGGATGTGCTCTCTGTGTGTGTCCCACAGGTCACAAAGTTCCCAACACTTCCCTAGATTAACCTTTTGCTCATAATAAGAGTAAGAGTGCCATGGCAATAATTGATTAATTCTATGTAATTAATTCTGTGTACTGAGAATAAGAGTCAGAATGGCGTAACAGTAATTGATTAATTTTATATAATTAATTCTGTGTAATGAGAGTAAGAGTCTGAAGGCCATAGCAGTAACTGAGCACAGGGAGAGAGTGACTGTGGTAGCAGAGTCTTCTGCAATTGCAAGATCTTTGCAACAGGAAGGTTTCTTATGTTAAATTCTGAGCAGATTGTGGAAAGCAACTGTGCTTCCTATTCCAAAGAAGATAACTTCCCCAATTTTCCTTCCTGTGATTTCTGGCATACTTCAGAGAAACAAGGAGGGAATTATTTCCTAACAGCAAACCTGGGTGTCATTTGTTCAGCTCTGCGTACTGAGCTGAATGCATTAACATGTCACCGTCCTTTACACCTAGGGACAGTCCCCACTGTTGCACCTTGTCACCTCCTGAGGCCTCATTCCATTTCTATATGGCAAGGTGGGAAAAAAACCTCAAATCCAAACTTTGAAGGGCATAAAGTTCTTCTTGCATCAGCAGCAGGAGGCCTGAAGCACAGAATCAATCCAGGAAAAAATTGTTAGCACCAGCTGCAAACTCAGGCTGCTTGGATGCACCAAGACATCAATATCCAGGGTTTCATATCACTTAATCTCCTGCCCTGAGGAGTTTTCCTGTGTGCATGAACACAATCTCATATAGACTTATCAAATCTATCTTAAAATAATGTTAGTAACTTGCCTCCCACACCTTATTTGGTAGACCAGTCTAAATCTGCACTCCTCCAGTGGTTTGAAATCATCTTCAGATTTCCTGTCTCATTTATCCATGATAACTTTATGAATACTTGATCCTTCTTTTCCTCAAACTAAAAGGCACCTGAAAAAGCAGCAGATTTTAAGTGTTTTTTGGTCAGGCTCTCTTAAAAAGGACCAAAGCAAACCTGGCTGATAAAAAAACAAGAACCTCCCTTAAGTATTTCACTTAAATGTATTAAAACCCCCCAACACCTTTCACAACTAAGTAAATGCCAGTGTTACTAAACAGCCTACTTTGGATTTCAGATTTAGGAGAAAAGGCCAAGGACTGTTTATACTCACTTGCTCATGAGTTCTAACTCAGCAAAGACAGTTGTCCATTGGTATCAGCTTCCCAAGAGCTCTGAGTGGAAACGACCTAGCCAAGAAAGAAAAATTAACAAGCTGTTCTGCCAACATGTCTTGCTTGAGATATGCTACCAAAATGTGCCATCTCTGATACAAAACAAAATGCCTGAGCTTAGACTTGTATCAAAGGAATCCTGAGCACTTAGTTCATAGCTTAGAGGATTAGTGCAGTGGTGATATTTGGTTGTTCTGAAAGGCTTTACAGGAACAAAACAGGAGAAAGTTAGCTGCTAATTTAGTAGTAGTTTAATTGGCTGCAGATGCACTTTGTGATCCAAATGTCAGATGTTTATCTCGAACCCACAAATGGTTGTAGAGCAGAATTCTGAGAGGGTTTTCTTGGGCCCTTTATTTAGAATACCCAAGCTCAGGGGAGATGGGTATGTGAGGCTGTACCCATAAGGACAATAACTATTAATGGCTGTAGAATATGATGGCTGTTTGTGTAATGTGAGCACTCTGTTATGACAAAAGCTTGGCAGCATCAGCATGTTTGAAAGAGAATTAGAAATGCTTTTCTTTCTTAATTCTCCTCTCCTGCTGTTTTTAATATGATCGACATTGTGGTTTTCAAGAGTTTGCTTCAGACCCTTTTGCCAGAGCTTTAATTTCCATGGAGCACAGCTGACACGTGGGTGGTACCTCTTCCACATCACCGACAGCGCCTCACTCTGCCAGTTCTAATCTGATAAGCACAAACCCTTTTCTTTCCCTATCAAATGTCTTTCCAAGTGTCACAGTTACAGGGTGATGCAAACCTTTTGCCACAGAATTCAAGAAACTACAGAAAGCCTGAAAATGTGCAGTTCAATTATTCAGGAGGGTTTGAAGGAACACAGGGTACGTTATTTTCTGAAGCAAACTGGTTGTTGATGTAAGATTAGCACACTTAACTTGTGCACTTCAGAAAACCAAAGTTATCGCTAATTAAAAGTACCAAGTACTACACACATCCTAAGAATGGCATTTCTTCCTTCTGTATATAATCTTTAAGGAGATATATGAAGTTAATTATAAATAAATTGGTTTTACTATGTAACACAATGTTTCTTTTATCCTCCTCTTGTAGCTAAAGTCTTGTACTGATATTGAGCAAGATGTACTCGGTGAATGCTTAGCTATCCAACAGCTCCACACGTCTTCACAGCACATCCTGGATGGGAAGTGTGGCAGATCTGTAGGTCCTCATGATTTAATTACAGGTAAGAATACTTCTAGTAAGTGTGGTGCTAAATATGTCATATAATAGAGGATTTAAACCAGAAAAGCTTTGTCACTGTGGAAGGTGATAAAAACTCCAGACCAACAAATAAGGTGAAATAACTCTGAGTTGTTCACTTAGGCCTTGCTTTTTTCGGTTTTTCAGACTAACTCAGAAATAGCACCTGTTAATTTCATGTGAAGAGCGCAGCAGCCCTGCTGAGAATCTGTCTCCATCCATTTGTTCTCCTTTCAAAGTGAGCCTTGGCCTGGGCAGAGTGCAGGTGCAGGAGCTGTGCTAAGTCCAGGCGGATGCTCTGGCACACACTCCCAGCACCAGGGCTTCCTTCAGGAACTGCAGGAAAGCTGATGAGGCTGAGTGTTATGATGCACTTTGGATCATAACAAAAAATAAGGTGATACATGAATGGGGAGAAAACTTGAATTTGAAATGTCAAACCTCCTTCTAATAATATTTTCTAGTATTGCCTCTTTCTTTCTATATTTGCTTTTGTTCTTGTGGTTTGAACAAGAGTTGGCCCTTTTCAGGGACCTTAGACTTCTGTATACATTTTATAGGAAGAGAAAAAGGAGCTTCCATTCCCTTCTGTGGGAAATGAGATCTAGATTCACAGTTTTTGAACCCCAGCAGAGGATCCTGAATCAGGGATGTGCATTTTGAGGTTCTGTGTTCAGGCAGCAGAGAGAGGCACTCCCAAAGGCCAGCAGTGTAATTGTAACCTGCCTTCTCAAGAATCTCCTACTTGTTTTGGTTACTCCAAATCTTCAAAACAAAAAATCATTTTTCCTGACATCTCCTATCCTCTTTTCTAGTTCAAGTTGCATTAAAATGTTGGAATGTAACTGGTGAACAGAACGGAGTAGAAAGGGAAATACCCCATCATTGTGATGTGCTTTCCCTGGGAATCTGCACTCTGGGCTTACATGTGGCTCCTTGAAAACTGGAGAAAGCTGGAGGGATTTGGGGTTTATTTCCAGTCTCTGCCTGTGCCACCTGCCCTGAATAAGGTCTGTGAGGGCAGCACGTGGCCTGTGCTGTCCCCTTGACAGCCCCGTGTAGCTGGAGCATGGTTTGGCTTCCCCCTTCCAGGCAGGGCAGGAAAGAGCAGTGACATTTTCCTCAGAACAGGCTGCACTTCAGAACCTCAGAAACAGTCTCAGATTTCAAGTGACAACAATAAAACAGGAAAAGAGTTATTAGCTCACAGATAAACAGACCATCCCTAACCTCTCAGTGTCATTTCAGAGAATCTCTTGTGAAATGATGGGTTTTATCTGTCTGTAACTCTGGCTTTGTCCGATATGATTTCTGTGCTGATTATATCAATCCATCACCAGGATGTTGTAAAAAAACTGTAAATCTTCCCTGATACTTCCATCAGGTCGCTCCATATGAGACCCCATCAATGCACAGCATGAACAAGCGCCAGGGAAAAATAAATCATTTGAAAGTCTGTTTTGCAGTAAAACAGAAATTGCTTCATCTTACAAGCAGTACAATCCACAGGCAAAACTGTTCCTCTGTCATTATTTAGGGCATATAAAGCAAAGTGCTGATCCTTACAGAATTAAAGCATAAGGACATTCCTGCTGCCACCTATAGTCTGCAGTGATTGCACTTTGCTCTTCCAAAGGCTGAGGTAATATTTTTTGAGAAATCAGCTGTAATACTGTATATAGGCTATACATGGATAAATACAATGTATGATGTCCTCATATTCCATTTGAAATATGAAAACATTCATGGTTTGGATTTTGGAGTTTGGTTTTTGTGTTGTTTTTTTAAAGAAACCACATTATTAATGTGCAGAGCTCTGGGCTTTGGGGATCACTTGGATTCCTGGAGAATTTCAGTTTTGTCTTTTTCCAAGTAAAGCACATTTTAAATATGTCAGGGATGAAAGCCCATCACAGAAAAAAAACAAAATATTAAAAAGGCCCCATCCCTTGTGTCTGACTTCAAAGCAGGTAAGAAAGTGAACAGAGGAATGTTTCTGCAGTCAGAGGAACCCATTGTTTGCTGAGATCTTCCTCCTTTTTCCCTCCTCATAACTAAGATGCTTCATGGCTGCACACATTTAACTCTGCCTGTGGACAAGAGTTTGTATCACTCTGGTCCCATTCAGGCATTTTCTCTGGGTTTTATTATTGTTTGCCTGCTCTCAGCATAAAGCTGAGGGGGAAAAGGCTGCTGGTCACAGATGCTCAGAGCACTCTTTTGACCACAGATGTTAAGGTTAAAGGCCAAGCCATTTAAAGTACTGATTGATGACTTCTGTTTACAAGCTGAGATGGTCAATGTGTGAAGAGGCCCAAGGTGCACAGGCCTGGCGTGGGCTGCACTTGCAGGAGTCATTCACAGTAGCTCCATGGGCTTCTGTGGGACTTCAGGTACACAGAATATTAGTGCTCAGTGCTGAAAAAAATGGGAAAAAAACTGTAAAAGGAAGGAAATTTTGGAAGTACTGAAAATTATACTGAGACTGGATTAGCAACTGCTCTTCCCCCCTTGACGTTTTTGTCCATGGGAGGGAGCTGGGGTGAGGCAGCACAGGGCGTGGTGTTGGATGGTTTGGGGGATGTGGGGACACCACGTGCCAGACTCGTGAGTGGTGCTGCACAGAGATGGAGGGAGAGGAGAACTCACGAGCCTCAGTGCGCAGGTCCAAGCAGGGACCTTTTCCCTGAGTCAAATCTGGGATCTGGGAGATCAGATCTGGGAGAGGATGTCCCCAGCTAGAAACTCTTCCAAGCCCAGCAGTGGGCACTGGGTACCCACCCCAGCAGTTCCACAGATGGGTAAACTCCTCTGCAGAGGGATTGGGGGTGGCAGAAACTGGGAGTGACAGGGATTTTGGTTTCTTTCGTGTTTCTGATGTGGTGGGTTTGAGTGCAGGGATCATGTAAGACTTGGCTGCTGCCCCTGAGTTGTGGGGTGTTTTTTTAAATATTTATTTTAAATGGTTGTGGAGTAGTATTTTAAATATTTTCTTTCCTCTAGAGGGTTATGGTGATTGTAGGTACTCAGCCACTCTGTCATTCTCATCACCTCAAGGAAAAGGCCGGGAGAGAGACATCTGAAGCATCCATGAACTGTTCAGGGGTGGGATTGAAAGATAAAACATAAAGTGTGTTTCCTGGCCACCACACTGCTAAGATGACCTTTTTTGAGGGCTTTTGAGCATTTTGCACAAGTTGGGGCCAGCAGTGTGGGAGCCTTAGAGCATGAACAGCTTGGTTTAGGTTCTGCAGTTCCCTCCAAGCTGTGCTTTCAATATACCTGAACTAGTGGTGTGGGAAATAGAGCTGAGGTGCAAAATGACACTGAACAGTTGAGGTCAAATTTGGCTCATCTTTCAAGCCTGACAACTAATGTATTAACAGTGAGGATCTGAGGGAAGTGGAAACTGTTGTATTAGAAATGGACTGAAGCCACCAGTGGAAAAGCATTTCCACAATGTAGCATCCTTGCTACTGACTTACTGTTACCAGAGAGGCTTTGACAAATAAATCCTCGCATCACCTGGGAACATCTGACTTTTAAAGCCCCTTCTGTCTGGTGTGCAGTGCAGAAAGCAAGTTGTTTTCACTGGCTGGTTGACAAATGTTCTGTCTAGCTGGAGACAGAGATGATGTGGTTCAGTCTTGTTGCTTTAGATCTGTCAGCAGCTGAGGACTCATTGTTCATGAGGGGGTTTTGACTCATCTGAAGCCCCTGACAAAGGTGGCTGGAATCTTGCCTCAGTGGTTCTGCTCTTCAGTCACACACAGAAACAGATGCTGACATTCAGATGTTGCTTCTCCACCCCAAGGGTGTCACACATTCCCCACAGCTCTGGATTTTCGTGTTGCCTTCTGCTTGTTCTGTGTCACTGGGAGGCTTTGGGAGGGGTGCAGTTCAGAGCCCTGCCAGTGACACAGGACAGGGCAGAGCACAGCTGGCACATGGCTCTGTCCAGAGGGAGTGTGGGGTCTCAGAGCTCTAGAGCTGGGCACTGTGGGGGCTGGGAGACCTCTCTTGCTGCTCACAGCCTTCAGGTCACCGTGTGAGTGGCAGTTCTGGTCCTCATCCATGTGCACATTTCCTGGGAGGGTGGGACAGAACTGTGGCAGATGTGTTGTGGGCAAAACTTGAAGAGGAGCCCTTTTCCCCTGCCATAAGGTGGCATTTGCATGCTCCATGGTTGCAATCCTGTGCAGTCTGTCACCACAGGGACCTGCCCTCAGCGCAGCCTTCACACCACAAGTTGGCACGAGGGCCCTGAGGCCAGGCAATTCCTGTCTTGGTGCATGGTCCCTCTTCAGGAAGGGAGAAAAAGAGTCTAATTCCAACATCTTCATCCAAGAGCCCCAGACAAAGCTTCCTCAACAACAGGTGTGTTTGAGGACACATAGGCACTTGGCCGCTGGTGCCTTGTTGCCATGGTAGAGAAGAGTCCCCAAAAATGGTACATTCACACTCCTTCAGTAATTCTGCACTGAACCTGTTTTCATGATCTCATTAAAAAATTCTCCTTGTTCCTCTTTGTGTTTAATTTTTTGGGGTTTCATTTGTATCAATGTGTGATGTTTGTAAATGGTTTGGGATGTGGCTTAGTAATGGAAAGTCAAATCAGAGAGTTTGAAATTAACAGCAAAACCCTGGGGTACCATGGTCTGTTTTGCTGTGTGAGCTCCATCCCCTGAGCTCTGCAGGTTCTCTCTCACAGCTATGGGAAAGGCAGGCTGGGAGTCCCACCAAGCCCTCATGACTGTCAGGAGGGTTCTACAGCTCTGTAGAGTCCAGGAACACCTGGAGCACCTGGGAGGGTCAGAGAGGAGACACTCACATGTCAAAGTACCATGGCACAGCTCTGAGTGCTTCTCAGGCCCAGGGGTATTCACTGACACACAGAGGCTCGGGGTCAGGTGGGGGATAGGGAAGGAGTTGGAGGCTCCACAGGTCTCACTAATGGTTCCTTGCTTATTCTGTTTTGCCAACTGCTGTGTGTTCCCAGGCATGTACAGTGGATCCAGCACCAACCACAATGGCCCCTCCCCAGCTGTGCTGCCGCCTCCTCATGACATTCCTTCAAGGCATCTTCCCCTTGACTCTGCCCTGGCCAGCCCACATCACCACCAGTCACCGCTGGAGACTGCCAGGGACGGGTACGTGTGTGATGTGAAACGTGCTGGGCCCGTGTCTGGCATGATAATGGATGATGAATTGTTTATTTTACTTTGCATGGATGCTGTTCAAAAGAAAACACTGGCCCAAACGAAGCAATTTTGTTTGTTTTAGAATCATGGAATAATTTAGTTTTCAAGGGCCCTCAGAAGGTCATGTCATCCATGCCCTGTGCAAAGCAAGGCAAACTTGGACATCATTATCAGGTTGTTCAGGGCCTTGTCCTTGTCTTTGACAAAACACAGTGGGATTTCTTTTCTTCCTAGCATGCAGTTACATTTAGATTTTTTAATTCTCGCTGGATGACTTGCTGGATGACAGGTTTGGATGAGCACAGAGAACTTCGCTCAGCTAATGTGAGAAACCTCTCAAAGGGTAAAACCCGAACTATGACTCACTGAGGAATCAGGCTGTGTTTGCCCTAGTAAGACTCTCTCAGTGTCAGAGCCATGGGCTTTCTCACTTCCTTGCTCTCTGATAAGGTTTTGTGCAATGCACCCCTCAGCAGCAGGCTGTACCAAGCCAGATCCCAGTCAGGGGAGAGTGTTGAATCCCACTGATTGTGTGGATTGCACTGCTACAGCACAGATACAATTCCGTGGCTACAGGGTGTGATACTTCTAAAGCACCGTTTGCTCAAGGCTCTTGTAACATCTTCTCAACTGTAAAGAATCTCTGCAAGCCACAAAACTCTGCTCTAACCTTTTTACTCAGATTTTTTTGGTGCCTGGCCTCATGCAAATTCAACTTCATACTTACAGTTTCACTTCCCAGCACTTTGGATGGAGAAAAGACTCTGATTTGGCTTTACTGATGGGAATTTAAGATACAGGGAGATTAAAGGATTTTCTTCCCTAAAGAACATGTTGGTGTCCTTTAGCAAATATAACAATTAAATGTAGAGTTTTCCCATCCTAATCCAGTGATTGACCTTTCCCTTCTTTCATACGGGGCAAGGGAAGCCCAGAAAGATTTTAAGCAAAGGGCAGAAGGCAGAGTGTGTGTGGCATGGAAGAAGTACGATAAGGAAATTTACACTTGGGGTGATTGGAGAACGATCTGATTGAGGAAATTCAGTTAGGAGCAAATTAGTCCTTATTTTCCTAATTGGGGAAGGAATTCTGCAGCAATCTGAGCTTCTGTACCCTCTGCTCCTTCAGCTTTCTCTTCTGACCTCAGCCGGTAGCAGGCAGCAGTGTCCCCCTCCCAGGATGATGGATGGACTTATCCTGTCCTTGTCCCATAAAATGCCTGTGCCAGCCCTTCCCTGCCCTGCCCCATTCCCGACCTTGTATTTCCTGTTGGCACACTCATTCCCATGGCAGAGTCGTGGCCAGCAGGAGGCACTGGAAATTACTCCAGATAAATCGAAGTTTTCTGTAGCAGAGAAGGCAGTAGAGCAAATCAGAGGAATGGAGACAGACATTCCAAAGTGAAAGTCATCCATGAGCTGTTCTTTCCCTACAGAATGACCTGAGCCTGTTGGAGTGGGATCCCTCCCTCTGCTCCCAGTGTGCTGCTCAGCTGTTTCCTCTTGGAGGTGATTCCTAGGGGAGTTGAGGCAAAAAATCCCAACCAAGAATGAAATAAAGTAAGGATATACTCTGGGAAGGATTTAGCAGGCTGTCAGGAAGGTGGATTTGTTTCTAAGGCACTTTGTGTTCTGGTGCTGCTAATAAGAAATGAAAGCAAAGGCCTGACCATCGTGAGGGCAACAGACAAGTTTCCAGTTTGAGGGGTTGGAAGCTCCCAGATGAATTCTCATTCCTGGTGTCTCCATTCCAGAGCACAGCACTTCCAGCAGGAGCACCATGGTCAGTGGGCTGAGCCTCTCACTCAGCTGCTGCAGACACACCAGAGTTTCCATCAGAATTGTCTCTGCCAATTCCAGCTTTAGAGCAGTGCAGATTCTTTCTTGGAGACAGCAGTGCTGATTTCTTATCTCACTGCTCATGTACCTAAGTAAAGTCTTTGCCCAAATATCCTATGACAAAATGTGCGAGTTAGATAACAGATAACCATGAGCCAAACATCAGGGAATGGAGACTGGAATGTATTTCTGAATAGTTATTTTAAAACAGGGCATCCAGTTGCATGACATAGTTACTTCGAATTTTTCAGCATCTCAAATACCATTTTCTAAACTCAAAATAATCTTCATTCAGCATTGTCATTCCCAGTCCAAGATCCTTCTGCTGTATTTAATTCTTTATTCATTTATACATTATTCATGACTGCTGAAATGCAGCCTGTACATGACATCTTAATTGCAAGTGCAGAAACTTTGTTTGAACTAATTAATAGTCCTTGAGTTTCATTTAGCACAGTTTTGTTTAAAGCACCCATCCACTCAACTGGGCAAAATCACGTAACACTCTCATGCTTGGAGCCCTGGATTCCAGGGCTGTTCCCCCTTGGCCAGCTCGGGGCAGTGCCATCCCTCCTGGAACGTACACGAGGTTTGCAGTGGGAAGGGAACCCCTCCCAGTGTTCCCTCCCTGGGCACTGCTGCAGCTCTGGCACATGCAGGGTCTGCTCTGGCCTCATTTCTCGGCTGTCTCAGCATTCGGGTGTGAGCAGACACAGAGAATTCCCGCTCTGTGGATCGGGACCATGACAAGGCTGGATCACATCGTGCATGTGGCAGGAACCAAGTGATTACTATCAAGAAATCTAATTACTGAGTCATCAAATGTGCAAGATGCCAAAAATTACATGAGGCAGAGTACAAATAGTCTACTCAAATTTGACATGAGACTCAGAATTTGATTTAAAGGCTTTTTCTTCTTTTTTTTTAGCAAAAAAGCCCTGTGTTACACTGTCTTTTGCCAAAGTCAATACCAAGTGCAGGAGTCAATTTTCCCAAATGGTTTGCTGAGACATTTAAATAGTTTGACAAAATTATCTAATTCACTTGAAAATGTTCTAACAAAATCTGACCTCATTACCAAATGTATTTATACTGGCTTTATTCAATATGGAGCACATTTTTTCAAATTCTGGAATGAAGTGTATGCTACACTTAAAAAATCTACTTATATTGATATTAATTTAGGTAAAAGCGGTTGGCTGAGAAATACTTCGGCATGCAGAAAGTGGGCTTGGCATGATCCAGGTTAAAATGTATATTTATTTTTTATTTCAGGTAGCAAGGGTTTATTTTAGCATTTCTTGTAGCATTTGCCATCTATAATGTCTAACTGGGTTTCATTTTGCCCATTGCAAAAATAGCCTATTTTGATTTGTAGCAGAGTGTGGACAGAGAAAACAGCTTTTAGTATTAAATCTTGGGTGAATGTTGCACTTGGCTTCCTTTCTACTATTTTTTTAGCTGTTATTATCTAAGTCATCTAAAAATGTACTTAGTTTCATTTGTAGACTATCTCTGTAAATTGCAATTTAGAATATTCAGTGTGATAAATTATCAGCTTTAATGAAACTGATCTGACTGAAGTTAAGTGAGTTTGAGTGGTGGCACCAAGTTTGGGATTTGCACCAATTTAGTGCAATGGCCCAACAAGGTCACTTTGTAGGACCTGAACATGATCCCTGTGTGTGTGACTGAGGCTCTCTGTCGCTTGTGCTGCTGTGACAAACAGTGCTTCTGTTCCCAGCAGGAGCTGGGGCACTGACAAATAATGGCTTGATTGGGAGGGTGATGTGTCTCCAAGGGAAAGGAAAGTGAAACCATTTTTTAATATTCCTGTGGTAATTTAGGTCATTTCTGCTCTGTAAACACACCAGTAAATGAAGAAGTAGTGGGATTAAGGCATCTGTGATGTGCAGAGGTGGTGATTAATGAGGACTCTGAGCCAAATCTGGTGAGCCTTTAATATAAAGGATTAGCTCTAAGCAAGGTGAGAGGGAAGGGCTCACACAACTCCCTTTGCCTGGACTTCTCCCCAGCCAACTGCAGCCAGCTCAAACCAGGGGCCAGACCCCCCTGAAGTGACACTGACCCCCCCAGAAAATCACAAGAAATGAGATTTAAGAACTATCAAGTGAAAAGAGACATTTTAATCAGGGCGCTTAAACATCAGAGTTTTTGTTTGCTTGCTTCTTAGCACCTGTTATTTCAAATATCACAGGAATACTTCAGTGTAAAGAGTTCTCTGTTAAAAACTTAGTCCTTCACTTCTTTTTACATCAAGTAACATGAGGTACAGAGCCTCCCTTCTGCTCAACCAGGGTACACCAGATTTGAAATCCCTGACATTTTTAAACTTGAAACTAAACACACAGGGTAAAATCTTGTCAGTTATATGGGGTAGATCTTTCCTGTGCTGTCTCTTTGAGCTGCCAGGATCCAGGCCAGGTAGGAAAACACATTTGTGCTCCTAATTCTCATTACTTTAGGAGACAATTAGGTGTCTTAGCCATGTCTGATTCTTATTAATCTTGTTTATTGATTAATCTTTTCATTTAAGTTTGGGAGCTCATATAATTCAGTGGACTAGGAACTGACACGCTATTAGGATCTTTGTAGGAAAGAAACTTTAACTCTCTAGAAGTGCTTTGGAGAACTAAATACCTGCACAGACTTTCTGACAGACCAAGGAGATCCATCCCTCATTCTCTGTGGATGCCAGTGGAGAATACTCTTCATTTATAACAGAATACACAAGTCAGTGGTTTAGTCTTCCCTTCAAAAGCACTAAAACCAGTAACAAGAAACAGATATCTCTGACAGCTGAAAACATTTTCAATGGAGGAAGCCAAGAACCCTTCATAATTTATCTCAGTGTTATGGATTTGAGCACGCAAAAGGGGCATCAGTACATCTGTCCAGAAAGAACAATGTACAGGTGCGGCACTGAGCCCCACGAAACAAAGAAAATCAGTAATTAAAAGCATCTGCTTTCAAATCCCAAGTCATTTATCTCGTTGTAGAAAATGTGATCAGAATTCATTCATAATCATGTCCAGATAGGCTTATACAGGTTCCCCCCCCCCCCCTTAAAGCAAAATTAGCATTAGCATA